GAACCTTAGGGTCATAGGTCAGTTCAGTTTGGAGGGGACATCAGGAGATCACTAGTCCACCTTCTTCTCAAAGCAGGGTCAGCTATGACCCTTATTTACTTCAACCAGAATACATAGACTTTCCAATTACTTTTGCATGAGGATGATAGTGGCTATGTCTTGATCGCTAAATTAAACAGCCCCAGGGAATGTTAGCTGTCACCAAGAAAAAGTGGAAGAGACTGTCCAACTCCATTCATCTGAACTATTTTTGCTTCCAAAACCATGCAGTTGCATTCAAATTGCCTACTGGAAATGGCCTTCATCACATGCCAACTCCTGAACCTGGGGATACGTTGTGAGAGAGCTAGTTGGCCAGGAAAAACATTCTGGGCTGTTTTAAGTATCTCAAAGCATAGATAGAACCTTGCACACTTAAACTGGTCAGCACAGATGTAGCCAGTGTGTCAATGTCTGAACCTGCAAGGCGTGAATTCCAGGGCATTCAGAGTTTTGGCAGCTACAGAAAAGCAGATTTCTGACTTTGGCTCACCTTCTACATGCAAATAGGAAAGCCTCTGATTAATAGCACAAAAATCAAATACACATCAAAGAATGCTGGCCAGAAGGAAACGCCAAGATCCAATTAAAATCAATAAAATTTTTATCACTGACTTGACTGAAATGAGATATGACATGAATAGCATCAGTCACAGTTGCCTCATCCTGGATAAGATATCAGATAGCTTGTGAGGTAAAAAGCATTGCTTTATACATCATCAATAATGCAGCTTCATGCACGCGCTTCATCAAAGTATTTTCAGAGCGCCTGTAAAACATTTGAAGCAAGTACATTTTTTTTTAATTAGAAGCTTCATTGATAGTTAATAAATTTAAGAGGCAAAAGAACTAATATGTACGGAATACCTAAGCTTATGCAAAATGAACACTTCATTTTTTCAGTATCCAGTACATGCTATTATTTATGAGAAGTTTTTTTCTGAATAATTGAGAACTATCCCTGTTGATGAAGTTGATCCAGTGTTTGTTGTTTCAAAGTGTTTAGTTGCTTTTTTCCTATAGCAGTTTATAAACAAGACTTCTTAAAGTATGTGGTGGACTGGCTATTAGGGTGATTCATTTGACCATATTGAAGTCTCCTTCTTTACATAATTCAGAAATCTGTTTCATCCCACATCACTCCAAATTTTAAAACAAATAATTCCATGGCTTTTTACATACTAATCAATCACCTCACTTTTAAACTTCAACTATTTATTCTTTATTCAATTTAAAACCTTACAACAAAAGTTTAGTGAAAACTAATGTCTCCACAAGCAGGTTCTCAACCGCTCTGCTCTCGGTCTTGTGTTGATAATAATAAAGCAATGGTAGCAGACAAGGTTGCTGTTCTGCTTTGATTCATGTTCTGGACAGGTTCTGTTTAAATATATCTCAGACTGCCTGTGGCTCGATTCAGTCAGGTCCTCTCATGCAATTAGTTTCCTACCTATCAACATAAGAGCACATTGCTGTGAAGGGCAAGTAAGTGGAGGATGTGAAGATGGGGACCCTGCAGGTTCACCAGCACTGCAGCAGAGAGAAAACCAGAACCGCCTTCAGTCAAAGGATGCAGGCAGGTAGCCAAATCCACACCGACTGCAGATGAAGAGTTGAGATCAAATATCGCCTGAGCAGCACACAGGAGTAAGTTGCTGGGAGGTTGTGAAAGACAACAGATGAGGCAAGGGAGACAAGACCTTGATTAGGGTCATACAGGAGGCGGTGTGGACAGCACAGCTACGTGAAGTTTTGAACAAATGCAGAAGTCCTATGTGGCTGATTAAGGCTGATGAAGCCTTTTCAGGCCATCAGCACATTTTTATGACACAGGTAAAGTTAAAATCCAGCAATCCTCTGTATGCTCTGGAAACAGAGGGATGTGTTGTTCACTTGCACCATCATTTGTACCTGGTCTCTCCAATGAGATCTTTGTGTGTTAGTTCTCATATAGGGTACAAATACAAGACCATAATATACAGTATTTAGAATGGAATGGAATGGAATGGAATAGAATAGAATAGAATAGAATAGAATAGAATAGAATAGAATAGAATAGAATTTTTCAGTTGGAAGGGACCTACAGGGATCACCTAGTCCCACTGCCTGACCACTTCAGGGCTGACCAAAAGTTAAAGCATGTTATTAAAGGCATTGCCCAAATGCTTTTTAAACACAGGCTTGGGGCATTGACCACCTCTCTAGGAAGCATGTTCCAGTGTTTGACCACCCTCTTGGTAAAGAAATGCCTCCTATTGTCCAGTCGAAACCTCCCCTAGTGCAGCTTTGAACCATTCCCACGTCCTATCACTGGCTCCCAGGGAGAAGAGATCAGCACCTCTGTCCCCGTGTCCCCTCCTCAAGAAGCTGCAGAGAGCAATGAGGCAGCCCTTCAGCCTCCTTTCCTCCAAACTAAACAAGCCCAGAGTCCTTAGCTGCTCCTCATAGGACATGTCCCCCAGCCCTTTCACCAGCTTTGTTGCCCTCCTCTGGATGCATTTAGGGACCTTCACATCCTTCTTAAATTGCGGGGCCCAGAGCTGCACACAGCACTCGAGGTGAGGCCACACCAAAGCTGAATGCAGTGGGATAATCACCTCTTTTGACCAGCTGGTTATGCTGTGTTTGATGCATCAGACCACATCCTGATGTGGTTTGCCCTCTTGGCTGCCAGGGCACGCTGCTGACTCATACTGAGCCTGCTGTCAACCTTTCTGCAGGGCTGCTCTTCTGCCACTCCTCTCCCAATTTAGACTTGTGCCAAGTGTTACTGGGTCTGGCATTTGGACTTGTCAAATTCCATGCCATTGATGATTGCCCAATGCTAGTATTTGCCTGATGTTTAATACTAGTACTTATTAGCAATTAAATACTATAGTACTTAAAATCTAAATTGGCCTAATAGTGTGTGGATATATATGTGTAGAGAGAGACATTATGTAACTATATGCTGTTAGACCATTTCATTAAAGTCCTCTCATTGTATGCATTTTCCAGTGAAAAGCTTTTTGCTCAATTATTCCTCTGGATCCAATTAGCTTTTTATTTCAAGATAAGGAAATCAGACATAAGTGAGAAATAATTATCTTAGTCTAAACAAAAGAAAAAGGCGGACTGGGGAAACAATCATGTGGGGAACTGTGTGCTAATTCCCCTGACCGTTATGAGTGTTAGTTTAGATATTCTTGTAGCATATCTATAAAAACTCTTCAAAACACATTACAAATTGCCGTGTTTTCACTTCTCTTAACTCTTCTCACAACATTTAAGGCACTACGTCAGTGTGGAGGAGTTTTCATGTCCCATCTTCCAGAGACAGGTGATAGTTTAATTTCCGTATTTCAAGCCCTCTTACTTGTAAACCAATAAAGAAATTTGTAAATGAAAACTATAAACTCAGAGTATCAGAACACAGATAAATCCCTTCTCAAAGCCTCTTTTTTATTATTAACTTTTTAAAATCTCTTCCTCTTAAACGTGTGAAATGTATTAGCTTCTTGATATGATGAACGTATCTTGTTGTAGGCAAACAACTGCACTGGGAGATATCATATGCATGCTTTTCTCCAAGGTTTCAGTATATGCAGGAAAGGGAAATAAAGATTAATTGCTTATTTTTGGTTCCTCACATTTTTATATCACTAGTTTTGCTCCACTTTAAAACTCTTATTTTTTCTCCCCCAACCTGTATTGATGCCCTCTTGCAACAATGAAAGGCCAAGTACTGAAGGCAGTAAAAAATGTACCCTTTTCTCCTCTAGAGAGGGTCTGTCAAGGTCATGACTCAAGCATATGAGGCAATGGTAGTTAGCTTCAGAGTTGTGAAACAGAGCTGTTTATTCTTTGCCTCTTCTGTTGTGTGATCTTGCTGTGCTGCTATTGACTTCAGTGACCGTAGAACTTGGGGCTCTTCACAAAGAAGCAACCTTGTTTGTAGACCAACAGTAGCAACGCATTTCTCCTATCCTGAGCATGCTATTCAAATATTAATGAACACTAGCTCTAATAGTATTTATGGTGCAAATAATTGTTGTCACATAGGCAGAACTGGAGAAGTGCTCTTTTTGTCATCCCAATGGATACAGCTCAATTATTTTAATTGTGAGCTTACCCGCGGTGGTATGCTGGAGTCCCTCAGTACTGATTTGGAAGAGGCAGTCCTAGGTCTAAGACACTGCTAGGGAGCCTGTGGCTATGAACTATATGCGTTGTCTTGTATCACAAGAGGAAGATACTATTTTAACACAATTTTACAATTCCTTTTATAGCCAATAGACATATTAATTGATAACCGTGTTGGGACAAAGTCCCTTTTCTGAGACTGTTAACAAATATGCCTGCTTGTGTTTACTTTTGAAGAGGTGAAATGGTCTTTGCCATCACACATAATGGAAGAAACTGGTTTTTAGAATCACACCATTATCATAACAGGGAAAATGATGTTCTGGCCAAATCTACTGAAAATAATTCGTCTTTGGACAAAGAGTAACTCTGGAAAATTTCAGTCAATAAAGTAACATCTTTGAAATACTGAAAAATATTCAAAAATTACATCAGAATATAAAAGCATATTCAGGTTTAATGGTAATAAATTTTATAATGTTGTTGAATGCTCTTTTATAATCCCAAGCTAAAGGACTCAATGAGTCCGCACACTTCACTTAGACATCTTCTTCTCTCCCTATCTTTCTCTTTCTGTCTGATAGAAATAATAACACTTGCCACTGAACCATGCATGCAATTAAGCTCTTAATGATAATCTGGCTTTTAAAGTCATTTTATCACTACCTGTACCTTGCTACCTCGAAAGTTATCTCTTCGTTTTACAGAATAAGTGGTTCTCTATTACAAATTACATTGTATTTCATATTGTACCATTTTCTAAAAGATGAAAAACCATGGCATATACTTTCATGAGTCTGGTCTTTTTTCTTTCTTTTTTTTTTTTTATTGTTTAACAGATACGTTAGGTCAAGAACGAAGCATGACATTGACATGAGAATAGGGATACATTCGGGATCTGTTCTGTGTGGAGTGCTGGGCCTGCGAAAGTGGCAGTTTGATGTCTGGTCATGGGACGTGGATATCGCAAACAAACTCGAGTCAGGTGGAATTCCTGGGTAAGGCAACATGTATGTCCCACAGTCAGAAAACATTGCCAACAAGGTACACTGTAGCCTTGCCAACAGATTAACTGTCTTACATTGTTTCATCAACTATGACCTTTTGGGGTTTTTTTTGCTATTTTGCGGTTGGCAAGGATTTGTGAGGCTATAGTCAAAAAAGGTAGAAATGGTCAGCTTGCAGAAGCATTGGAAAAGACAAAAATATTTCTTTTTCTTTGCCAACTATGATTTCCTGAAAAAGGTCAGTGGTTGTATTCAGCCCATATAATACTCAGAGGTAGCCCAAATTTCCCAGTTAGGTGTTGACCATTCCTGAGTTTTTCCAGGCTTCTTTCTCTCACCCTTTGCATTCAAAAGCTGTTGTGAGGCACAAGGATGTAATTTATTTTATTTCATAATGCACAAAATGTGGGAAGAATTATGTGTTTATAGGTTGTTATGCTAATAACAAGGCATTATGGACAGCAGACTCTCTAAGAAGTCTTTTAAATAATTTGATGTTGTAGTAGATGTTTTGAGACATTTAAGTCTACATGTGAAAATATATGGTCTTCCATTGAACTCTCTAGGCTGATTCACCTGGAGGATGATAGAAAGTTATTTCTGCCTAACATGGCCTATATCTCACAGTAGTTTGGAACTCGCAAGTCCTAAATTTGAAGCAATGGTAGTGGTTGCAGGAATCCTCTCTTCACTCTCAGTTTCACCTTCCATTGATGAAAGGTGTAGCAAAAGATCCCCTACAACAATTCAGTTGTTGGCCATGGAACATAGAAGCAATAGCAGTAGACATCTTTATGTGGAAAAAGTCTAAGTGATGCTGTCTTCCTGATTGAGAGAGAGTTTTTAAGTCATCAAATGTAAATCATGTGCTGTAGTCCCTACACACAATCAGGACCTGTCAGAGCTGTCATGTTCCCAGGAAGTTAGAAAGACATTTGCTGTGTATTGTATTTGCCCCTTCCACTGTTCCCCATAGCAGACCTTTATACTAATATATATTCTTAGAATCATCAGAAAACAAAACATTTCATGCTCTCAAAACAGCTTCTGTACTCTGCATATGTCACCAGTGTAATAAAACTGCAGGCAAAAATTTTTCCCTGTTGCTTATCCCACATGATAACCCCAGATGACTAAGAAAGGTCACATACTGCTTTGTTAACATGAGCAAATCAATCACCTAAGTTTGACCATCCAGACCTGCAAAAAGTCTAGTTTATTGCTGTTAATGTGTGCAAGTAGTACAGCTATTAATGAATAACCCGGAGAGTGCACCACCTTGCTGTTGCTGATAAAATGCCTGGCTAGGTTGCAGTCTATTGGAGCAGAGTGATTTCCAATCCTGGATATCAGTTTGCCAACAGAACAAAGCCTGTATGTGATAGCAATTCACTGAGTCCCACAAAAAAGTGATTTACATCAGGCTTTCCTAGTGCGTAAAGCAGATTTAATAGAGCAATTAAGTTCTTCAGCCTCTCCTTACTTCTCCCTGCTGCCAGCATTCCAGTCCTCCTGCCTGCCACAATACCGAGATCATTCCCATTCCCAGAGCTGCACTGCTTTCTTCTGGTTTTTGCCCCGGTGTTATGAACAGTCCTGCTCCCACAGTGTGAAACGAGCAAAGATGAACCGCAACCCTTTCCTGAGCACACAGCGGGGGGAGGCAGCTCGCCTGCCTGGGATGGGGAGGATCCCTCCACCCAGTCCAGGGGCAGGAGAGAAGGGGCTCAGATCTTCCCCTTGGGGGTTGCATATCACCCTGAGACCTTATAAGCATGGGTAATGCAGGGAGAGATTGTCCCCGTGTGAAGGAGGGCAAGCGGGCAGCCCAACTGTCGTGGAAGGAGGCAGCTGGGGGCACTGAGAGAAAGCAATCATTTCTGGTTTTTTGAGAGGAAAAAAATGTGTCCACAATACCTGAGAAGGAAACCATGTAAGATCCTATGGTGTGATTTCAGAGACACTGTTCTGCCAGGACCTCTTCTAAATGTCTTCACCTGGTACACCTAGGTATTAATCTATGGGATTGAATGGCCATAAAAGCTAGCTAATAATTAATTATCCAGGATGTATCAATGACAGGTATCATCCAAAGCTTTGGGTCTGATATGTTTTCAACAGTAGGACAGGCCATACCTTTTTACGTCAGTGCTTAGGTTCCTGACTTACTGCATTTGTATAAAATTAGAAAGACATCCCTCCACTATACATTTTAAGGTTTTTTTTAAGTAAGTAAGCCGTACAAAAGGTGAAACCAGAAAATATTTTTAATCTACCACCTATTTATTAATATTTGGTCCATTTAAGGGTATTACAGCAATAGCCAGCTCCATGCTGTAGTTAAAGCTGTTATCATTTCCATTATAAAATCCATATTTGAGGGCTTTATAATACAGTCTTCCCAAATTATATTAGTAGAAACAAAGATAGTCACCCTGGCAACTAATGTATCATTTTCTTCTTCTCTCTTCTTATTTTCTTTTTTTTTTTTTAATTGGTACTTTACTTAAATCAATTTAGTCTATTTGGGTTTCTAAGAGCTAAGAAATACATTGCTAAGAGGTCATATGATCTGGTTTTAACATCCAGGCCAAAAGGTGCTTATATTTGGGAAACTTTTTTACTGTTTTTTATTGTCAGTTCTACTGACATTTTACTACAGAAGTGTACTAATCTCTGTGGACATCATAACGACGTGACTTCAGACAGTGAAAGTTGCACAAAACCCATGTTGACTTCAGAAGGAAGCTGAGACAGGTTAAAAAATGGCTGAGATAGGTAAAAACTTTTGATCTTTTAATTATATACTGATATTTAATACTCTACATAGACCCAGTTTGTGCTAAATTCCTATAGTCCTGGGTATTTCAAATGCTTAAAGACAACCAGCACTTTTTTTGCTGGCAATACATGCACATCATTCATGTGCTTATAGCGTTTCTGCTCCAGCAGTATTTTATGCAATTTAACTCTGTAGTGGCATCCTTTAAGTTCCAGAATAAAATTTCCAAGGGCTGTGCTAGGACCATTTCCTTCAGTGGAGGCAAGCCAATTTGTGGTGCCTGTGAAAAATGTCTCAGCATGAGCCATTAAGAAATTATCAAGAATTTTAGCTGACTGAATTTTAGGAATCTGTCTGCAAGCCTGACTTTCAAAAAGTACCCTGCAACCAAAGTTGAAAAACGAGCTGATTTTAAAGTATCTTAATGGAGTCACTACATTTATTTGCATGAGTTAGCTAAGTGCCTAATGAAAATCTCCTCTTATTGCATTTATGATGCTGCATTATAAAGTATAGCACAGCTAACCATGTGGGTGTGTTTGAGAGATGTTTGCAATTTACCCTACCTGTAGGAAGTTGAACATTTCTTAAAAATAGAAATAAAATCTGCTTTTTCTCTTTTTTTTTTTTTTTACTTGAACTTCTTTCTGTCCTTCTCAAGCTGTCATAATTATGGTTAAGAAAGTCCAAATACCAAGCACCTCCAGGTTTACTTGGAAGACATCCAAAGTCTTATTATGCTTTTGCAAAATTTGAGCTTTTTGTATGTTATCTCTCAGGTTCAACTTCAGTTTTGCAAAAGATTTTTGAACTCAGAACTTAGTCTTACCAGAAATTATCACCCCACCTGCCTTTATATATTTTCCCTATTTCCCTAATTCACTTCAGATGCAATCAGACCACTAATTTCAACTGTCTAAACTACCTCAGGTAACTGAAGGAAATTAAAGAGCTTTCACACAAACTGCTCTAATGCATACCATATATTTTCCTCTCACCACGTTTACCTGAAGTGGCAATTTTCATTTACTCTGAATAGTATTTTACTCAGGAATGTCTCCCATTAAACTATTACTGTGAGCAAAAGCATCAGGTGTGAATATCAAAGTGGTTTTCCTGTGACAGTACTTTGTGCATTCATGAGATCGTATTGATATGAACATGACTTGAGAATATTTGTCCCAAAATGAACCTCATGTTTGTTGAATACACTGTTTCAGCCTTGAGAATATTTGTCCCCAAATGAAGTTCATGTTTGTGAATACACTGTTTCATTTTCTTTATAGAAATCATCATATAGAATAGAAAATCTATTTATCCATCATGTTAAAAATGATGCAGAGTTCATAAACTCCTTCTTACCTATGTACACTAGAGCACGATCAATATTTGCTACTACTTATTTCACTTATGCAGGAGAATTCACATCTCCAAAGCCACTCTGGACTGCCTGAACGGGGATTATAAAGTTGAAGAAGGGCATGGAAAAGAGCGTAATGAATTCTTGAGGAAACATAATATTGAGACTTATTTAATTAAACAACCCGAGGAGAGTCTGTTGACTTTGCCTGAAGATATTGTGAAAGAGGCTGTCAGCTCCTCTGACAGGAGAAACAGTGGAGCAACATTTACCGAAGGATCTTGGAGCCCTGAACTTCCATTTGACAACATAGTGGGAAAACAGAACGTAAGTCAAACTTCCTTTAATGTCATCAAGTATGAACGCATGTTTGAGTACATTTCAATAACGAAAGCCTCAGAGGAGAGAAATTAATCTTTAAACTTTATTCTAACACGCACTGTAACAGTAGAGCATTAACAATTTGTTTCAGAGCAGAAATGAATCATGCATCCAAACTGGGGAAATGTCAGGGGACCAGAGGTTTGGAGGTTTTTCCAACTGATTTTAAATACTACACAGCTTAGTTTGAATTGAAACAGTCCATAAAGAAGTAAATTAGAAGTAAAGTTAATGTTGCTAAACTAGCTGGGACGTTCTAGTCAGAGTGTGTATCTCATTGTGTAGCTTCACTGCACTGTCATCAAAGTAAAGGGATGAGTGAATGGACACTTTTCCAGAGGAAAAAGCATAGTGTAGGTTGTTGATATATAAGGGAAAGAAAAAAGATCTACCTTAAAAAAGCACCTTGTGAAAAGATTTTGTCCGTTCTTCATTTTTTTTCTTTTTTTTTAATAAAAAACATTAAAAACTTAGATTCTAAGACATAATAAAGGCTCACTAGCAAGTGACTCTAAGGTCATGCATAGCTCAATGGAAATACGAGATAATAAAACCTGCTCCTGATCAGATCTTTTCCAAAAGCATTGCATGGCTAATTGCTAACACCCTGGGAACCAGCAATTCCTGTAGTCATAAAAACCGCTTGTAAAGTCTGCTTGCTTAGAGGAATTGAAGATGGAAAGGTTAAAATGTCCTCAGATACCACTCTTTTCACTACATTTGAAAGATTGATGAGTCTATGAAACAAGGTCAGCTGGAGTTTTCTTCCGTTTTTCTGAGGGATCTGTAATGACATGATATATCCTTTCTTCTGCTGCACATCCTTACTCCTACTTGTCTGCACTGTCTGTTGAACTTCAAGCGTTGTTGTGTGGAGGTCTTGCTTTGTCAACCGTCTTCTGCTTCTTACAAATCTGCTCAGAAGTGATAAGCCTTCACAGTCAATCAGCCCATGGTGGTCTCTTCGTCTCTTCAAACTGAATGGGAGCATGGCATATTTTGCTGTTATATAAAACACCTGGTTTATATATGTTCTGTACATCTCTGTATCTGCATGTACGCTGCCTTTTAGTATTCACTGTAGTTTGTTGACCTGTCTCTATACTCTCATTTCATTAGGAATTGGGGTATGAGTGCATGCTGCTGTGAGCATCTTCTGATCTCTCTCTGTTTCTTCTTTCTCTTTAAGACATTCCAATTTCTGTAGCCCAAAAAAATCTATGCAGAGTAGGCTATCATTTCATTGATCATTTTCTCAGCTAAACCTGACCTTGATACTAACAAAGAAGAGGCATGAAATAAAGGACTAGAGGTTTTATTCTATTATTAAACAACTTCCACTCAATAAACTAGTAAAAAGTTCATTAAAATTGTTGAAATAGGTGTAAATAAACAGTTCTTTTAAAGCAAATTTTTGTCTTATGACAATAAACAATCCATTTTTAGCCTAGTTTCTCACTGTTTTTTAAGAACTTCTTGTTCTGCTGGAAATAACTATAATTTTATATTACACAGCTTAACAATAAGTTTTTTGGTGGAGACAGGATTTAAAAAATCTGCTGTTCCATGTGTGATTCAATTAATATGTAACTTACAATTTTGAAGTTAAGACAATAGACATTACTGCTCATAAATAATGTATTTTAGCTCAAAATTAAGATGATACATTTAAATTATATTAGGATATAGTAGCTTTTTCCAGAGGTGTGTCAACCTTGGGCAGAATAAGCATGTAATAACATTAATTATGCCACCTAAAGGTCACTGGCAGCAGCAGATGTTGAGAATTCAAGTAGCAGCAACACAACAATGAATCACTCTATGTTTGAATATTTGCCAACAGCATTTAAATGGTTTCTTCACCCAATATAAATTAAACCAAAATTTGAGCAACTCTTATCACATGCGTCTTACTTTTAGTTGTAGTTATGTTAGGAGGAATATGAAATGGCAAAGTCTCTGGTGAGTTCTCTTGCAAAACTCAAATTCATCACAATCTATATTCTTTACTTCAACCTCATTTTCTATGGGCAGCCTAAGACAGGGAATTGAAGTTGTGTTGATATGAGTATGAAACAGAATAACCACTCTTTATGTACGCAGTCACAGACAATAACAAAAGCTACATGTGTCTACAGCACAGTTAGCACCACGTGTCTTAGGTAAGCCAAGGATGGAAGTGTCTGATCTGAAATTCACAACATGCCCAATATGGATAGAGTTTTCTGTTATTGAAACAGGCATCTGGGCTTCTTTTCTAAAGCACAGAAAGTTGGACAGAAGTTATTTTATATTAAAAGAGTGAAGGCCTGTTCGCCCAGAGAGGATGTAGATGTCCCATTTCTGGAAACATTCAAGGTCAGATTGGACGGGGCTCTGAGCAACCTGATTGAGTTGATGTCCCTGCTCATTGCAGGGAGGTTAGACTAGATGATGTTAAAATCCCTTTCAGCCCAAACCATTCTATGATTCTATGATTCTATGATTCTATGATTCTATGATTCTATGATTCTAAGGCTTCCTCCTCTAAAATTAATTAGTAGCTGATGAAGTTGGATTTCTTCTCAGGGCCTTCCAAAAGAAGTAGCTAAAAACTTAATAGGCTCACTGTGTGTGGTGCTGGAGGCACCTGATGGGCCTGTAATGACGTGAATTAGGGAAAAAGCAAATGAAAATGTCTGTATTATATAAGCCTATTTTAGTGATGGCTGCAATGACTCTTGCCAGTTATCACAAAAATTATACTTAAAGACTGTCAAGATGACAGACAAGTATAAACAGGGTGGAATTCAGTTCAAAATCAAGACAACTGTATGTGCTTCTGTATGATGAATGGTTATTGTCATCATCAGGAAAGTTCAAAAGCTCACTGTAGGGTTCACAACTGTATCTTCCATACAGCTGTTCACAAATGTATAGGAGAGGCAATAGGGAGAACCAATATTTCCTTATGTTGGCATAACACAGTCTAAAAAGATGCAGAGCAAAGAGGGAGATGCAGAGACAAAATGTGGTTAGAACATATTCTTGGGACAATCATTTGCATGATATTTTTTATTATTGTTATCACTAATTACAGGGAAGCTGTTTTCTCAGGTATGTGTATGGATGTGAGGGAGAGAAGACTCCACCAAATATAAATTTGCTTGTTATCCTCTGAAAATAAATGCCACTTCAGAGTCCATTTTTTCACCAGTACTATTGGCACCATTGCCAGTGGTGATATTATGTCATGTTCATCTACCACAAACTGTAAACCACTTCATACGTTCAGCAAGAAGACAGTTCTTCATATTAACCAAAATTTAACATACAATTTGAAACAAAATGTAGTCACCTACTAGGATGAATTGAGATCACTCTCCTCAGGTAAATAAAACTACACTGCCCAACTAAAACATTAGAGACCTTCTCCACCCTCACTTCCCATGGAGATATAACAATATGAACTAACCAGAAGAATTAATGCACACATCTGATGTGATCTCATCCTTTAACAGTGACTTCACACCCACTTGTGCAATTTCAGCCACCACAAGTTGATAATAACTTTTCTCCATAGTTAAGTTTAACAGGGATGGGAACACCTAAACTGAAGTAGTTCCTTAGTGTTAATAATACAGTATTTATCCAGTTGACTTAATGGATTGTTTTCCTGGGACTTGTCTATAACCTTAGAGTTTCTACCTTAACTCCAAGGCTAATATGGATTCAAGTATATCTGAAATTTTAGTATGAGAGAAGTTTTCTTGACACTTTTTTTCTCCAAATGTTGATGATATTGATTTTCTGGAGGGAAGATGGTGAGATTTGACAAGAGTGGTTTGCCAAACCTTCTTTGCTGAAGTCCTTTTTCTACTAAAACAAACAGGAAGATTGATTTTTATTTCAATAGACAGAAGATTTCAATCCTGATATATTTTTCTGCCTATATATTGGGCATCATCAGAAGATGGAATATAAGAAAACAAGGTACTACCTGTGACTATAGAGTCCTTGGACTTGATCTTAGGATTGTAAAGAAAGTTTCCACTTGGGGTTTGACGCTGGGTACCTGAGACCCATCCTGTGTTTTGATGTGCTCTCCAAGACTCTTAGAATGTAATTGCTGTCTATACTTTGAAAATGAACAAAGGAAACCTCCCTATGTCATTTGCTGTATGTAATCCCATGATCCAAAAGAACTGGCTTTCTATCTAGTGTTAGATCCATCCCAAACTCCTGTTCTCAGCAATGCCCAGTAAGAGATATAGCAGAAGATCTTTCCAGCAAGGACCTATAGAATAACTTTTCTCAAGCAGAATTGTATTTCTTGTCCGTAATAATTCTAAAATGTCTTATGCTGTGATGTATGAAGGTTTATAACCCTTCCATTCATTAACATTTGTTAACCCTTGGGAATATCACAGGTAGTAGATCCCATTCAAGTGGGAAAGTGCTGCTTCACTGTGGTTTGTGTCATGAAATGATACCATGAAATGGGACTGAGTTATTCTCTTTATGAAAGCAAACTCTACCTCTTTCCTGAAGGTGAAGCACCCTTCATACTATCTCCACTAGCTTTCCTTTGTGAAGCTGTGCAAGTCTTTTCTTTCTTTTGAATAGTCAATGAAATACCATAGGAATAATGCATTTGAGATAAAATTTTAAATAATAATATGAATTACAGTTAAATCAAGTAATATAGCCTAACTGTAATCTAGACTGCCTGAAATATAGCAGTAGTGAAGAAGAACGTATTATTTGAAACCCCGTGCTGAAGTAATCAGAAATGTCACCTTCTTCACTCCTGCCTAACTGATCTGTTCCTTAACTACACACATCCAGTAACTTTAAGATCAAGAAAAGCATCAGTACTCCTGTTTTGTGACTTCTGTTTTCTGCAGCTTCTGTTCTTAGTTGTTGAAACACACCATTGTGTTAGATACCCTGCTGTGATTTTGGTG